TCAGCGATGCATAATTTATTTTTGCGGTGGGAAAATTCTTTTTTGGGGGAGGGGACACTTTGTATATATACACCCAAGAGTGTTTTTTTTTTCTCGGTTGGTGGCGATTTTACGAATAAGTTCACGAACGCGAGTTGGAAAACTGGCCGCATACAACGGTAAAGCAGTATTTCGGGTCGAGCAGTCCGTGACCTCGGACGACAAGATACGTGGAGAGTGTCGGGTGATGGGGCTTCTCTCGGGCGCCAACGATGGGACGAGTCACGAGGCACGTTTCCCTGTCTGCAACGGCCTGCACTCGGAATTCCGCTCGGATCCTCCGGGTATCAGCGCCGGACGGACCACAATCGAAACGTCCAGAACAATAGACTTGTCGTCGCTGCCCCCTCCCCGAGGACCTGTCTTTGCGAATATGGACGCACAAGCACGCGACGAGCCGCCGTCGCGCGTTTCCGCAACGCCGAGACAATGGACCCTTTCTTTTTTTTTTCTTTTTTCTTCTTCTCGAGAATTGAGTCCCGCGCGTGCGCGAGCTCTGCTCCGTGCAGCTAACGGTGGAGGCACATGCGTACCACACCTCCTAAGTAACAAGGCCAAAATGCTGGATTGTCTGCGTCATTGTCTGCGTCACCTATCGGAGGCCGACGCTGGGCACAGATGGACACCAATGCTGCGTCAGTCGGTGTTCGGCTGGGACTCGTTTGCAATCGGTGGGGGCACCGAGGGAAGACGATCCTCTCCTTCGACCGCTCCCAGAGGAAGGCTCATCTTCCCTCGGTTGACTTGGAGGCGCAGTGGCTCCGCGCTCATCCCGTGCTCTCCGGCACTGATGTAGGCCATTGCCCGAAAACGACGATTGGAAGTCACCATGGACATACTTTGCGCTCTCACTCTTAGTTCAGTGCCGTTCCTGGTCACGCGGTTCCAGTGGACGCTTTTCTGCCCGTTCTGCTTGAGACCACATATCCAGTGGAGCGCGATAGCGCTTAGTCCGTTACAACTCAAGAAGGTAGGGCGAGGGTACCACGGGCCGGGAAGGAGGAAGCAGACGGAATGCTGGAGAACAGAGGGGGAAACCTCCTCCTCTCTTTAACCTTCTGTCTGATTCTTCCTCCCCGGCGCGTCTTACCCTCGCCCTACCTTCTTGAGTTGCAACGGATTGTCATTTGGCAAACTGCGAGAAGTATGGCCCCAGCGAGCCAATCGGATCGTCAAAGCGGGGGGGACATATCACGTCTTTCACTCCGTCCCTTTGACTGGCTCACGGCGGGCCGTAGGCAAGTCCTTCGCCAAGTCGCGCTGATTGGCGTTCCGGGTGCACCGCAGGGCAGCGCGCTTGCAGGACCTTATTGTACGTCTACCGGACTGTGAAACGCGTTGAGCATGTGCATGAGCTCCCTTCAGCGGAATATCAGACGTTGCTCATGCGCAGTAGCTCTCTTGTGCGGAGTGTCAGACGCCGCGTCATCTGCCCTGCGGCATTTTTCGTCCGAGCGATAAGCGGTGAAAAGGTGCACAGTACCATCGCGCTTGTACGCTGCCTTCGAAGGTCCATCCGATTCAGTCTGCCCTATTTTTCGTTTCACCATAGCACACAAAGGTCAATGCTTCATACTTTGGTGTTCTTATCGGCTAATGTTGCAATCTCAGTCTGTCCGCGGAGCAATACGACGCTCGGGACACTCTACGCCCTGCGTTTTTATACGGACACACTAAAAGCGTGAGCTCGTGGCGCATGCATTCAGCTTGATTGGGCTTGCTGGAGATAACACCCGCACGGAAAGACGACGAATGTCGTGACGCAGATTCTTTCCCGCGCGCTTGATTGCCCCATCAGATCGTTCGTCGACGTAGCGTCTCACTGACGCCGGCGGAAGCGCGGCCCCCGATGTCATGTCGTTGTTCGCGCGCGGACTTTGAGAAGGAAGCGGGGGACCAGCGGGAGGGGACGAGGCACGCGCGCCCGCTGACCCGCAGTGGCGACCGCAAGTTCGCCCCCGCACGAGCGCGCAGCGACGCTTGGCCGGCAGGCCGAGACCGCTGCATGCAGGGGCTCGCTTGGCCGTCGGGTTGCGGGCTTCCCTCAGGGAAGGGACCTTTCGTCGCGAGCCTGCGCAAAACCTTTCGGGTGCCCAGCATCCGGCAGGCGCCCGTTGCCTTTCATCGTGTCTGAGCCGCTTTGCACGCTCGAAGTTCGCGAAACGCCCAGAGGCGGGACGCCTGAAAGTTGGAGGACGTATATAATGGACGCTGTAAATGTCGCTTGACATGGAACGGGCTTTCGGTAGACGAACCACGACGGTACAATATTCTTGCATCTCACTTTTGTTTGTTTGTGTGTGTGTGTTTGTGTGTGCGGGAGAGGGGGGGGGGGGGAGCAGCAACCGTAAATCCCGTTTGTAGCGCTATAGCCGACCTGCTTCGCCGACCCTATGCGGGCAAGTTGGTCTGCTCCCTGCGCACCTCGTGCGCTTGTTTACCTCCCAAACGCGTCCACGTGCCTTTGTTTCCCCTCGACCACAGCCAGTGACGCGCAGGCTGCCTCGTCATCCTGCTCTCCCTACAAATTATCAGTTGTTTTCCTGATTGGCGTACCCCTCCTTGAGCCCTCTGCTTCGACATTGTTTAGAGTTCGGCTATTTCCCGTAATTGCAGCGATTGGACACGAGCCGCCGTTTAAATGTTTGCGGACGCAACTTGCAAGTCGAGTACTCGCGGGTTATCGTCGCCAAGGGATGATCCCCGCGACTACACATCGTCAAGCTTTGTGATGGAGAGACTGAAAAAAAATGTCCTCCCAAGCAGCACAGAGTAGGCCAGTCATCGGCCAATGGCTGGCAATGGTCCTTGGCCAAGTGGCCAGACAGTGGCCAGAGACTGGCCGGTGACTGGCCCTTATCTGGACATTGGCCAATGGCCACTGACCATCAGCCATCGGCCAAGCATTGACCAATGAATGGCCACTCTCTGGCCACTGGCCGAAAGACCATCGCCAGACATTGGCCATTGCTTGGCCAAAATCCGTGCTGCTTGGGCTCTTTTATTCTTGAAACTGCACCCCCATAAAGGAAGCTTCTTCCAATCAAATGTCGTTTCGCGGCCTCTTCAGACAAAAAAAAAAAAAGGAAAAAGGCATCAAGTGTGTCAAAGATTGAGTGCCTTTGCATACAGGGAAGGCACGTGGTGAGCGCACCACTGCATCCTTCAATGTAAAAGAAAATGCCTGCGCTTTCACCTTTTTTTTTTTTCGAGGACGCATGTTGGCCGATCACTGGAATGCGGTGATTGGCCGATCACTGCAAACCGCAGTGATGAGCAGGCTGCACAGGGACAGCGAGCGAGCGAAACATCTTGCGAAGGTTGTCCATGCTGCGCACACCGCGTTTTTGGACCGTTTTTCTTGCGCTATTGTAATTGGCTAGATTCGTTCCCTAGATTGTAGTGATTGGCCCATTGTGTGCTGAGCGGGAAAGTAGTCAGGCAGGCATGTTTTAGAGACTGGGCCGTTCAGCGAAGCCGCTCGTCATGGATTGGAGGCCACTCGCGCGAGATGACGGTCTGCTCACTTCGTGACTGGAGCAGCAATTAGGGCGAGAAGAGACAATGGCGGTGCGCGTCTCTCGGTCGGGCCAGCAGTGTCAGAAAGACGGACGCAGTCCATTGTTGTGTGCACACTCCTTTAAACCGGGACGGATACGCCGGCGGTCGGGCGAATCGGCAGTCCGCCCGCGCGCTTGACTCCGCACGAATAACACCCTTTCCGGCACTTTCCTTCGCGATCTGTGTAGAGGTACGCACTAAGGCATGTCACGCTTGCCAGGCTAAAAATGCCGCTTTAGGCGCTAAACTTACGTTAGGTCTAAACGACAAGCTTTTGGATAGACTCAAAATTGCACCCCAAGAAAATTGAATAACCGTATTGTAGCAACGATCCCAAGCTTGAGATTATAAACACACACGGTCTATGAACCCGTATACATTCCCGGTCGCAAAACTTAGCTCCCGCAAAATTTTTAAAGAAAAAAAAAAAAAAAAACACGACCGAGAGATTTGATTAGGCTAATTTTCTCGTCTTTTGTGTGTGTACTGTGGGTATTTAACAGCAACCCCACGCCATGATTGCTCAGAAACAAGGACCGCTTATGGTGTGCGTTTCCCAGGAGCGAATTTTCCTGTCTTGTCCTTTTAAGGGAATTCGGAAAGACCTTGGTGCAAAATTATCATGACCGGCTGTCATGACCGGCGGTAGAAGTTTTTAATGTGGTTTCTATGAAATGCGAGTTCATTGCGATTTCCCACTTGAACCTGAAGCCCGAGTTCTCCATGCCTGTGATGCGGGGTTGGTTCCCGGGACATTCGAGTTCCTGCGTGTCTATTGCACCATGAAGCCTTGAGTTTGCCGAGAACGTGGGGCGTACCGAGGACTCCCAATATTCACTGCGCGGCGCGCGCGGGCTTTTAGGATTTTTGTAAAGGGTCTATTGGGTTTTTGCAGAACCATCTGGTCACTGCCAATGGGAACCAACGGGGACCAATTGGAACCATTTGGAACGCATTCAGGTTCAAAAAATAATTCCATTTGGTGAGACCCACTGGCCAGTTTGCTTCCAGTTGGAACCCACTAAAACCAATTGGTTCCAATTAAAACCAGTTGGAATTCTAATTGTATTTAATGGGAATTTTTAGCTGGGGCAGGAAAGTGCCATATGGCTTCATGGGGTGGATGGTGTACTGTACTATAAAAACTTCAGCTGCCCCCCCCCATGTGTCCTAAAAACACTGTCCCCCCTTCCACGTGGAAAGCACAAATCATATGGTCTAAGCTCAGAACCGGGACAAGGGGCTAGCACAAATGTATGCATGGATTGACTTTTGTCGTGATCCAGAAACTGATCCGTTATCCTGAGCGGACGTTGATTAAAAAAAACACCTTCTGTTCTAAATATAAATTTCTGTCATGACACACCTCTGAGCACCACCACGCTTTTTGTTCATTTCAGATAGAGCCTGCTGGCTTCGCATTCCCGTCGTACGAGTACTACGCGGATGGTGCTCCGAAGCACCAAAAAGAGGTGAGTGACCTATCTGCCTGGGTCCGTTCCTGACGAGTCTCGGAATGTCGGCTCGTTCTTATAAATGCCCGAATGCATGCTCGAGTGAGCAGCAGTAGTCTTTCACTAGAAAATGATGCTCAAAGTATTAGCGTTCTTACCCCCATTGTCCGACGCCGCCACAACAGTCAATTGTTCATTTGCGTCGCATGACATTAGTTTACGTGCCAGTGTCTCGTGGGCGCCGCTATTTTTCTACTTGTCACAGTTGTTTTTAAATATAACTTTTTGAGCCTAACTTATGGTGTTAAAAGATCATCGCTGCATTATTTTGATTTGTTGCGAACTGTCGTAACAAGCGGGTGGACAAAGAGCAATCCTTGCGTCGTTCGTCAGGCACGTCGGCAAAAGCTGGTGATAACAAGCAACATTGATTCTACACACCAGTATGACTGAAGCATCGTTACTTTAAAGTGTAGCTTCTTTTGTGGCTTTAAGCTGCACCTTTCATGAATGCTTGAAGTGCCACTGTGCAGAGCAAAAGTGCTCGCAGTCAGCATTGAAGCCACAATAGTCTGTGCACAGCAGCATGCTTGGGTGGGTGTCCAACTAGAGTACTGCTGGAAATGAGCGCCACAGGAACGGGGACCGGTGAAGAAGTGGACGACAACACTGGGTGGCCCCGTGCTGTCGTCCGCTTCTTCACCGGTCCCCGTTCCTTTGGCGTTCATTTCCAGTCATGAACCAACAAGCCCAGCTAAGCATTTTGTTAGAGTGCTCCTCTTACGGGACACCATGGCGATGTTGTATGTTGTGTGCAGCTTTTACAAGCCTACAGGCAGCTGATTGAGAAAGTGACGGATCACCTACGGGACGACCCTGCCTCCCGTACCAATTCCGCCATTGCCGACGTCATCATCAACTACGAGAGGCGGCTTCTCGAGGTACGCCTTGCGCCGCACTCTCTCTTCGTGCTTTTTGTTGGCGCCTTCAGTCTGCACGGTACATGCTGGAGCATTATGTATTAAGGTCTAGCAAGCGCTTGGTTCCAGATATGAAAGACCTAATTTTCAAGGTTGGTTTCATGCGTGCTGTTCATGAAAAACAATATTAGTATATCAGCCAGAATGTTTATGCTCACAGTGATGTGATTGCTGCGCCATTTGCGACAAACTGTGCCAGGGGGCTTACCCTGCTACATCCTGCTACATTTAGCCCAAATCTGAAGAACTTGCACCAACATTGCGCCAAAAATTAATTTCACTTTATTAAATGCTGAAAATATAATGGCTCAGGCCCCGCTACACGTCCGGATTGTTATGGCAGGCTTGTGCGAATTTTCAGAACTTTCGATTTTAGCTGCAAATAACGTGCTATCCTATTTGATCTTTCTATTAGTATCAAATGCTGACAGTACTCGTAATTTTCGCAATATTTCTTATGTTCCGAGTCTGCTTTGGCATGTAAATTAGCTTTGTTGAGTGCGCTTCTCACCGCTCTCTTGTGTACTGCAGTGAAGCGGTAGCCGCGAAGTAAGCTTGGTAATTTTGCTTATCTTGCTTTGCCGCAGCGCATCTGAGTGCTAAAGGGAAAGCATTCCCCCAGAGCGGGACGTTAAACATGCAAGCATCGGGTATATATATATATCAGGGATGGAAGCGCTGCGCCAATTGCGCCATTGTGCGCCAATCCACTTTTGCTGCGCCATCCTGCTCCCAAGCGCACATGTTGCGCCAAAACTAGCCAAACAAGTATTTTTTTTCTAAGGCTATATTTATTGGATTATTCTTTTTTATGGGCCACGGTGGTCTACCGTGTTGTGCATGTTTAGATAATTCTGAAAAAATAAAAAAATGGGGACTTTTAGCAAACCGTTGCCGCCCGAGTGATACCGTGACCTCGGGGCGCGCGCGCGCTTAAAAGCATGCTTTAAAGGCTCCAGTAGTGCGCAGTACGCGGTAACAGTTTGCTAAAAGGCCCTATTGCTTTGAAATCACCATACCGATGTGGTCGTGTTAACGGCGTGTAAGCCTGATCTCCGAAAATGACACATGCACAGGTCGCTTTGTCAAAGTACTGAACTCTGACAAGCGACGAGACGATGCTTCGATGCATCGTCATTCACTTTTTCTTTTTTCTTTTCACAGTGGCACTGAGCATGACCGAGTGTATTCGAAATACGACATGCGCGGCAATAAATCGCCGTAAAGTCTCGTACAAACGCCCGCCCCCCAAAAATCGCACATCCCGTTTTTTCTTTTTTTTGTTTTTTTTTTAATTTTTATTTATTGCGTGATTTGCGGTATCGGTACGCGACAAGCGTGCTCGCCGCGGGTTCCCTCGTGCTTATCGCACCGTGACACGCGAATCTGCAGCATTCGTACTATGCGGGGTATCCCTTCCCATGACATGCAAATTCCGAATTCGTTCGCGCATTTTTTTTTTTTTTTTTTTGTCTGTGATTTTTTGCGCGCGATATCGGTCCCGTGACACCCGAGTTTGAGGGTGCCGGGTTCTTGCGTCCGCGTTCTGCTGCCGTACCCGGGACAGGGGAGTTCATTGCGAATTTCCACACACTTATTGCACACACGAGTTCGCCGTGTCTGCGATATGTATCAGTAACGAAAAGACAGTGAGTGCGCAGGCGAGCTGGTGATAGTTAATCATGATGTTCGAAACCCGAGACCGTGGTGAGGGAAAAGTTAAGAAACTTGGAAGTTGAAGAGTTTTCGTTTCATGTAGCTTGTAGTGCCCCCCCCCCCCCCGGACACGCACGCACGCACGCACGCACGCACGCACGCACGCACGCACGCACGCACGCACGCACGCACGCACGCACGCACGCACGCACGCACGCACGCACGCACGCACGCACGCACGCACGCACGCACGCACGCACGCACGCACGCACGCACGCACGCACGCACGCACGCACGCACGCACGCACGCACGCACGCACGCACGCACGCACGCACGCACGCACGCACGCACGCACGCACGCACGCACGCACGCACGCACGCACGCACGCACGCACGCACGCACGCACGCACGCACGCACGCACGCACGCACGCACGCACGCACGCACGCACGCACGCACGCACGCACGCACGCACGCACGCGCACGCACACGCACACGCACACGCACACACACTTTACCTTTTCATTTTGGATGGGATTCTTTCAGGACCTTATGGTGTATAAATGTATTTTTATTTATTTATTTATTTCAAATACCCTCAAGGTAAGTACATTGAAGAGGGGAGAGGGCTGTAAAATATTAACTATAAAGTGCACATATTAGTAATTGCATTTTTAAACATAACAATATCAGTGATGTTAACAATCGAGGCGGGAAGATTGAAATAATGAAGTTTTAAAATTTGGAATACCAACCTTATGGCTATGATCAATGCGAGCAGATATGTAGAATGGTGGAGTAATTAGTTTATGACGAAGGGTAACATTTTGATGAAATATTTTATGAAAAAGACACAAACGAGAGATTTTTCGGCGGTGAGTTAGTAGCGGCAGACCTATAGTTTGTCAATATCAAACAAGCTGAGCGGTTTTGAATGGATTCAATGTGAGCAATTAGTAAAGAGTAAGCGGGGTCCCACACAGCAGCAGCATATTCCAATTTTGGACGGATTAGGGTTTTGTACATGGTTAGTTTTAATGTAGACGGAGCGAGGAAAAAAATTCTTTTTAAGTATCCTAACATAGGGTTAGCACTGTTAATTACGTATTCAGTATGATTCTTTCAAGAAAGGGTGCAAGTTATATGAACACCAAGATATTTGTAAACAGACCCTGAAGCGAGGGGATTACTGTTTAGATGATAAGTAATGACACACCGATTGAGCACGTGACACTCTAATCGATTTGCATTTGTTAGTGTTAAGTTCCATTAGCCACTGGTCACACCACAGTGATATACGATTAAGGTCAGATTGTAGAAAAATAGAGCCAGCTATGTAAGTACATAAGAGCTTGCTGGCATTTGTTCACCTATCATCTAATTTCTGGAGAAAACAAAAAATACTCTATAAAAATAAACATTTAGCGTAATATATATTTATTTTTGCATGTTTGGGGTGCTTTTGCTCAGACTGCTTCCGCGTTCCTCATTCGTGTCGTAAACGTAACATATAAGCGGAAAACAAACAGCGCAAGGACAAGGACAGAGTAGAAGGCGGTAGACACACACAGCGCTGACTTACAACTGAGCTTTATTGGCACTGACAACCTGTATAAATACACAATTTGCCCGGCCCAAAAGCCAAGAAAAGAAACACAAGAGGAGGACTACACGTGTTCCTAGAGTCATCTGCAGGCGCCGTTGCTCTCCGATCTCAGTAGAAAAATACACTCCTTTTCCGTCAAGGCAAGTGACGGGGCACTAACACACTCAGAGCCCGATTGTCCATAATCATTGAGATTATAGAAGCCCGCGCCATTGGACAATCGGGCTCTGAGTGTGTTAGTGCCCCGTCACTTGCCTTGACGGAAAAGGAGTGTATTTTTCTACTGAGATCGGAGAGCAACGGCGCCTGCAGATGACTCTAGGAACACGTGTAGTCCTCCTCTTGTGTTTCTTTTCTTGGCTTTTGGGCAGGGCAAATTGTGTATTTATACAGGTTGTCAGTGCCAATAAAGCTCAGTTGTAAGTCAGCGCTGTGTGTGTCTACCGCCTTCTACTCTGTCCTTGTCCTTGCGCTGTTTGTTTTCCGCTAATATGAATGACCAACTAGCCCAATCGTCAACACTATACTGAGTAACATATAAAAGCGATAATTGGTTGCCTCAGCCATCTGTAGAGTTTCTTGTAAATGACGTATGTGGCGAATACACCTGCTGGCACCCAGACAGCAAGCCGGCGGGAGGACGAGGAGAACAGTGGGAATGTCCTGCTGAGCGAAGCAAATCCTAAACCGTTGCGCTAGAACGCATTCAAGCAATGCGGAGAGCAAGTCGTCTGCTTCTTGCACAGGAGATGCGGTGACTTCAGATCGACGGCGAGCTCCGATTGGTTTTGATTGAAATGATAGTGGGTAGACCTCAATGCTAGGTGCCTTGAGATATACCCACTATTTTTTTTTTATCAGCCAATAAGAGCTCGGCGTTTTGACGTCACGCTACCCCTGTGCAAGAAGCGGACAACCTTGCGCTCCTCATTGACTTAAAGACCGACTACCAGGTCGCACTTTCCACTTTTCGCCCCTCTTCCTCCTTACCACCCTCTACCCTGTCCACTGTTGCCTGTTTCCTCCTCCCCCATGGCGAGGGAGATCTTCTGCCTTGCAGAATCTCAGATCTGGTCGTCGGCCTTTAAGGAAAACCTTCCGTTTTATGGTCTTACCTGCTAGTTTTGTCAGTCAATCTTGTTTTATTAAACTCTTAATCAAGATTTCTTGTTTCTATTTAGTCAGTGATGCTTCTTTTAGTAAGGGTTAATTAAGTGCGTATGCATGAGCAGGAATGGTATAGCTGGTATCATGAAGTTTTCAATATTTTGCATTTGTACTTTTATCAGATAGAGTAGATTTGTACTCTGTTGAGTATTGGAATACTTTTGATTTGTACTCTGTTCAGAGTATTGGAATACTTTTGTTTGCTAAACAAGGACTTGAGAAACATTTGTATTTCCTAATGATGAACTGTAGTCAGTATTGGACTTGATTTCATACCGTACTATTGCAGCTTGATATGATTTCGTTTTTAACTTATGGAACATGCGATTTAGGTTGTTAAACAGTGAAAATGTCTTGTTTTCATGATGCTTAGTTGTTTTTCTTCAGCTGCCTATGCCTATTATTGTAAATCCATGAGAGGAACCAACCCGCTACCAACCGCGCCTTGTCCTGTTTCCCTTCGTCTGTGTCCCTGTATTTTTTCGGCGCTTTTTGCTTGCACCAGGACAGTTCTCAATGGCAGCCATTAAAATATTTTTTTTTTCGCTATGGGCTGGAATATATTTAAGTAAAGGTCATGTTTGGAAATGGTTCTGGAACGTCACATGGAGATTCTTTTTATTTATATTTCTTTTTGTATTTCGGAAAACATATTTGTGCTTATAGCACCAAGCAGCTCCATGGTTTGCTTATACGCTACGAAACTCGATTTTTGTTGCTCCTTAGCTGCTCCAAAGCTGAACTTTTAATGCTCCAAAGCTGCTCCAAAGGGGCATCTTTGCTGCTCCCAGACCTGCTCCAAAAGGCTGAAGCTTGCTTCCACCCCTGATATATAAAGGAACTTCATGAGTATTAATGTAACACCTCTTAGTTGTAGGAAATATTTATGAATTATAGTGTGGCTATTATTTATGATAGACTGCGGTATTCTAGCGATATCTTTTTCAAATTCGTGATTTAGCAAAGTACTCGCAACGAAATTTGTAATTTAAATCCATTGTTCGGTTGTCACCTTTATACAGGGTGTTTCGAAAAAAGTTGGCAAATTCGATATTGCGAAAACTACGCATCGCACCAGAAAAAAGGCTTGTCTCGTTTTGGTCTTAGGCCAGGGGCCTATTTAGAAAATAATTGAAGTTTGGGATAATTAAATTGTTAAATATTTTCGCATAATTATGTTTTTTAATATTGAGCTTAAGGGCATGGTTTCAATGGAAACTTGCTGGTCATCATAAAAAAACACGAAATAAAAAATTGGAGTGCGATAGAAGGCACGCGTGCATTTTACAGCTTTGTTAAAAACAGCACAACTTGTACGGGTTTTTAAGTTTCGGTTTGCAATCGGAGCACTTCTCGGCACCGACGGTACTGCGCCCCGGGGAGAGATAGTGTAACCAACATCCGCTTCACAGGCCTCGCGCAACGCAGCCGAGGAAGGTTGCACTATTTCTTCACGGGGTCCGGCGCCGTCGGTGCCGAGAAGCGCTACAATTGCAAACCGAAACTTAAAAACCCGTACTAGTCGTGCAGGTTTTTAGAAAGGCGTAAAATGGCACGCGTGCCTTTTATCGCACTCTAATATTTTTATTTTGTGTTTTTCGATGATGCTCAGCAAGTTTCCAAATAAAACAATGCCCTTAAGTTCAATATTTAAAAAATTAATTGCGCGAAAATAATTAACAATTTAATTATCCCCAACTTTATTAATTTTCCTAAATAGGCCCCTGGCCTAGAACGAAAAGGACACAAGCCTTTTTTTGGTGCGATGCATAATTTTCACAATATTGAATTTGTCCACCTTTCATGAAACATGTTTTATACGTTCGAGGTAGAGTCACTAGAATAAACTAAGACTAAATAAGGTGAACAAGTATAATGAAGCTTGGGAATAACCTGAACTACTTTGGCTGGATTGTTTTAAGAAGGCATACTTACCGTTCACATTCCGATCACGGTTATTATGAGGTTCTACATACAAAATGTCATTCATTCTCACAACTTAATGGCAAAATAATTTCTTTTAAAAATTGAATTAAGAATTTTCGTTTTATTACAACCTTTAGAACTTGAATGAAACTTTAGTTTATGTGCTCAAAATTATTGTAGCTGATTTTAGTAGAATATATAGTTCGGTTTACATTTTATTCCTTCATCGATCAGCATCTTGTTGCGATGCCTAGTGGTTCTATGTGCAACTAAACAGCCAGTTCTGTGTTTAAGGAAATCAAACCTGCCGTTGCACAGAAGTGTGAATCATGCACGTGTTTTAGTTGGATAGTCCAACACACACATATCTTAACAAATAATATTCACAGTGGTACGAATAAAAATGAAGTGTGTGCTTGTGCTCCAGAAGTGCTTTTTGCTGCTCCATAATTTACTTTTGGCTGCTCCAAAAAGTGCTGCAAAACAACTCGGGGCAGTCCCATCGCTGTGCGCATATCACTAAAAATTATAAAAGAAAATTCACTGCATTTGACCCGAAATGCTAAATTAAAACGGACAATTATATATTGCTCCTGTTCATGATTGTACCTGCAAGCTCACTTTGCACCGAAAAAAAAGCATCTTTAATAAAACTATTCGTTTTTGTTTCACCGTAAGATCCACGTTTTTTTTTCTTTTACTTTTAGAGCTAAATTCATTCTGACTGCCGACATAATTTTCCAATGAAGAATTATAAGACTGGCTGCCCATAAATCATTGTGGAACTGTTTGAACCTTGCCTTCTTGTCAAATTCAAACACATTGGTTTGCTTCCTTGGCGTACTTAGCTTTAATGTGGATTCATACTGATATGCTTATGAGCACTTGCAGCCTTGTGTCAAGAGGATCCATACTGCGCATTCAGGCTGACACCCGTGCAGATGCGTATGCTGTTTGGCGACTCCAAGCTCGTTTTTATACCATTTGTTTACATAAAGTGACAGACCAGTATTCGACAATAGCTGGCCTAGCGGCATTGCTCACCACTTTGGCAATAGGGGGAAACAAATATCAGACGCACAAACATTTTAAAGGGCAGCCACCGAAAGCCTTTCTGTGGACAGGCTTTGACCCACATCTCCCTGTCCCCTTGCAGAGGCTGCGACCGCTGGGCAACCTGACGGAGCCCTACAGGAAAACCAATGTGGCAGGGCTCAAGGGACTTGTGCCCATCGTAAGTATGACCCCCGGTTTTAACTGTAGGTGTGGCCCAGTCCCAGCATTTCCTTTTATAAGGATCAAAGAGCAAAAGCGAATTGTGAATGCTTAGATAGTGTAAGGTTGGTGTGCCCATGTATGGCAACACTGGTTTATGCTGTAGGTAAGGATCTGTACGTGAGATGTGCAGCAGAAAAAGCTGTAAATGTTACTCTTAAACATGAAAGCCGTTTACAACTCAGCGTACCGTTGAATTAGAGCGCAGCTCTTGACGATCGAGGAGGAGGGAAGGGGTCACGAGTTCTGGGGGCGGGGGTTCACGTGACCTCGGGGGGGGGGGGGGGGAGGTCACTTGACCTGGGGGAGTGTCACATGAGTCACATGACCTGGGGGGGGCGTCGCGTGACCTCGGGGGGCCACGTGGCCTGGGGGCGTCACGTGACCCCCCCAGGTCACGTGACCCCCAGAGAAATTTTTTCGCTAGACTTGCGGGGAAATTTTTCCACTAGATTTAGCTGGGAAATTTTTCCCCTAAATCTAGCGGGGAAATTTTTCACTAGATTTAGCGGGGAAACTTTTCTGCTAGATTGAGCTCAGAAATTTTTCCGCTAGATTTAGCGGGAAAAGTTTTTCGCTAGATTTAGCGGGGAAATCTTTCCGCTAGATTTAGCGGGGAGATTTGGTTTAGCGGGGAAATTTTCCCGCTAGATTTAGCAGGGAAATTTTTTTGCTAGATTTAGCGGGGAAATTTTTTCGGTAGACTTAACGGGGAAATTTTTCCGCTCGATTTAGCGGGGAAATTTTTCTGCTAGATTTGGCGGGGAAATTTTTCCTCTAGATTTAGAGGGGACATTTTAGAGCGCAGCTCTTAGGGGCCCGTTCCCGGCTTGAGCGGCGTCGCCGTCGGCGTCGCCGTCGCCGTCGCCGTCGCCGTCGGCGTCGGCGTAACCGCAACCCTCGTAACCCTCGTGAGGGTTACGAGGGTTACGAGGGTTAATCTCATGAGGGTTACCCTCACGAGGATCACGAGGGCCACGAGGGTTACTTACCCTCGTAACCCTCACGAGGGTTACGAGGGTTAGTTACCCTCAAAAGGGTTACCTTCACGAGGGTTACCCTCACGAGGGTTACTTACTCTTGTAACCCTCACGAGGGTTACGAGGGTTAGTAACCCTCGTAACCCTCGTGAGGGTTACGAGGGTTAATCTCATGAGGGTTACCCTCACGAGGATCACGAGGGCCACGAGGGTTACTTACCCTCGTAACCCTCACGAGGGTTACGAGGGCTAGTTACCCTCAAAAGGGTTACCTTCACGAGGGTTACCCTCACGAGGGTTACTTACCCTTGTAACCCTCACGAGGGTTACGAGGGTTAGTAACCCTCGTGAGGGTAACGAGGGTGAGTAACCCTCGTGAGGGTAACTCTCATAACCCTCGTAAGGGTAACTCTCATAACCCTCGTGACCCTCGTGAGGGTAACTAACCCTCGTAACCCTCGTGAGGGTTACGAGGGTGAGTAACCCTCACGAGGGTCACAAGGGTTATGAGAGTTACCCTCACGAGGGTCACGAGAGTTGCCCTCACAAGGGTTACTAGGGTTACCCTCACGAGGGTCACGATGGTTACCCAGGTCGTGACCCCCCCTGGGGTCACGTGACCTGGGGATACCCCCCAGGTCACGTGACCCCCCGTTGACGTCATAGGCACTGATGACGTCGTCAGTGACGTCACTGATGACGTCACCGGCATCCGCATCGTCATCGTCATCATCACTGATGACGTCATTAGTGACGTCACTGATGACGTCACCGGCATCCGCATCGTCATCATCATCACTGATGGCGTCATCAGTGACGCTACTGATGACGTCATCGGTATCGTCACGTGGCCCCAGGTCACGTCACCCCCCGACGTCACGTGACGCCCCAAGGTCACGTGACTCCCACAAGGTCACGTGACCCACAAGGTCACGTGACCCCCAAGGTCACGTGACCCCCCCGCCCCCCCGAGGTCACTTGACCCACCCCCCAGTACCCTTCCCTCCTCCTCCTCAAGAGCTGCGCTCTAATTCGGCGTTACAGGGAGTTGTAAACGGCTTTCATTTTTTTTTCACTAGATTTAGCGGCGAAATTTTTCCGCTACCCCGCTAGGTTTAGCGGGGAAACTTTTCTGCTAGGTTTAGCGGGGAAATTTTTCCGGTAGAACTAGCGGGGAAATTTTTCCGCTAGATTTAGTGGGGAAACGTTTCCCGCTAGATTTAGCAGGGAAATCTTTCCGCTAGATTTAGCGGGGAAATTTTTCCGCTAGATTTAGCGGGGAAATTTTTTCGCTAGATTTAAAAGGGAAATTTTTCCGCTAGATTTAGCGAGGAAATTTTTCCACTAGACTTAGCGAGAAAATTTTTCCACTAGATTTAGCGGGGAAATTTTTCTGCTAGATTTAGCGGCAAAATTTTTCCGCTAGATTTAACGGGGAAAATTTTCCGCATGATTTAAAGGGGAAATTTTTTCGCTAGATTTAGCCGGGAAATCTTTCCGCTAGATTTAGCGGGGAAGTTTTCCCGCTAGATTTAGTGGGGAAATTTTTTTGCCAGATTTAGCGGGGAAATTTTTTCGCCATAGATCTAACAGGGAAATTCTTCCGCTCGATTTAGCGGGGAAATTTTTCCGCTAGATTTAACGGGGAAATCTTTCCTCTAGATTTAGCGGGAAAAGTTTTCCGCTAGATTTAGCGGGGAAATTTTTCCGCTAGGTTTAGCGGGGAAACTTTTCCGCTAGGTTTAGCGGGGAAATTTTTCCGCTAGATTTAGTGAGGAAACTTTCCGCTAGATTTAGCAGAAAAATCTTTCCGCTAGATTTAGCGGGGAAATCTTTCTGCTAGATTTAGTGGGGAAATTTTTCCGCTAGATTTAAAGGGGAAATTTTCCCGCTAGAGTTAGCGGAGAAATCTTTCCGCTAGATTTAGCGGGAAAATCTTTCCGCTAGATTTAGCGGGGAAATTTTTCCGCTAGATTTAGCGGGGAAATTTTTCTGCTACATTTAATGGGGAAATTTTTCCACTAGATTTAGCGGGGAAATTTTTCCGCTAAATTTAGCGAGGAAATTTCTCCGCTAGATTTAGCAGGGAGATTTTTCCTCTAGGTATAACGGGGAAATTTTTCTGCTAGATTTAGCGGGGAAATTTTTCCGCTAGACTTAGCGGGAAAATTTTTCCGCTAGATTTAGCGGGGAAATTTTTCCGCTAGATTTTGCGGGGAAATTTTTCTGCTAGATTTAATGGGGAAATTTTTCCACTAGATTTAGCGAGGAAATTTTTCCTCTAGGTTTAACGGGGAAATTTTTCTGCTAGATTTAGCGGGGAAATTTTTCCGCTAGATTTAGCGGGGAAATTTTTCTGCTAGATTTAATTGCATTTTTACAAATGTGTCTAGAAGATATGGTTAGTCATTCGTGGAAAGTAACCAAGCATATGAGTTAGGTTACCAATCATGCACACCAGTGGTGCAGCCAGAAATTTTTTTCGGGGAGGGGGGAGGGAGGGGGGGTTGAGGTTGTTGGGATGTCCATGACTTGGGGTACGAAGAAGGGAAAGGGTGTCGACATGCATGTTTATATTATAGGGTCGGCTGGATTTCGGGGGGTAGGCTTAAGCCCCATAAGCTCCCTCCCTGGCTACGCCACTGATACACATGAGTTTGATCGATGATTTGAGCTTGGAATAATGTGGAAATAATATGCTTCCACTGCCTACACCAGATTTATGCTAAGGAGATTGGTAGGCATATAATACTTGGCTCTACTCTCTGGATTGAATGCACATTTTAAGCATGCTTTTGGACATTGCTTTTGCAAAACATGATACTGTAGTTTATCGGGGGGGTGAGGCTATAGAAATTTGATTATTTATTCTCTTTAGAATGTATATAAGGGTGAACTTTTGAAATGAAAGTCTGAGATAATTATCAGCTTGTCAAAGTTACGAAAAGTGAACCACAGTGCCATTGCAACTCAAATGTCAAACTAATAATTGGCTTGAAAAAAAAAATCTTACATCATGTTTTTTATTTATTTTGCATGCAGCACATTGTTGGAGAACCTTGAAAGGTATGTTGTAAACAAGGATGCCCTATCTACTCTAAGTATTGATGGATTCTGCTGCCCCGAAATAAAATTGTTCCCTGAGCAAAAAAAAACATTTTTTTCGCACGTGTACAATCACCAGACCAGTAGCCCGCTGTCCAAAACTGTCATCTGCCCGGTCGCTCACCAGCGTGGGGATTGCTGTTTTTCGTCATTGGAAGTTGGTCGTGCCAAGAGTGTTCTTCTTCATTCGTTCACAGAAGCGGTTAATGGCATTGAGATGCTCAAAGACCCCGTGCGTTTCCAGGTAAAGTGGGACCAGCTGCTGACGGCCTTCTTCCAGGGCCAATCCATCACCAATGAGACGCCCGTGTTCCTCTCGCAGCCCCACTACTTCCAGGGCCTCAGCCAGATCATCTCCACCACCGACACCACGTGCGTTCCCTTCACACCAACCAGACAGACTAAATAGGCCCCACCTGCGAAGCACGAGGGTGCGGTGCAGTAGTGGCAGTACACGGACGGAGAGTTCAATGACTGAAAGGGGCAAAGACGTTGCCAGGGCAGCGGCGGTGCCACCACCGGAGCCGTATATTTCTCTTGTGGTTTAACGCCAACTAAACGCAGTCCAAACATGAGATTATTGGCATCCAGAATGCCGCTAATCGAATTGTAGTTTGCTTGCTGACAAACTGTGTTAAAATGTTGCTTTTCTCATGGAAATGCCGCAAATCACTCCAACACATGTGCAAGCTATGACACTGAGTAAGCCAAACTAGTTTAGCACAAGAAGAGTGGACCTTTTGTCTGGAAAGGGCCACTTTTCTGCTCTACTTTTGTGTTAGTTTTCAACTACTTTTGTTTTGCAATCAAAGCTATGGCTTTCCTCAAATGGTTGCAAAACAAAAATATAGGTATATATATATATATATATATATACTGTAAAATACCGGGGTAGCACGTGCACCCACTCAATTCTCACTGAAGACTGGGTTAATCCAGACATGGGTGCTTGTCCGGTCAAATCGGGCGGTTAATGTAGAATTCGCAGAATTCCCAAGTTTGGGAAATGTTAGTAGTAAGCGCTCAAACAAAGTGGGCGCTTTTGGGGTATTTTACGGTACACTTTAGTTTAGAGTGTACAGCTCTGTAAGTTTATTTCCCCAAATTGCTCTAAATCCTCCTTTTCTTTTTTTTTGTACTGTTTGTAGAAGGCTTGTTTAAAATGGCACATGTGCATAGCAAATCTCTCTCAATGGCAGTAGTCATGAGCAGGCTTTTGTAAAGTGGTTTCCTAAAATTGTCTGTAATGTCCAAGTGGCTGAGTCAGAGGTACTACTACTGCATGTGTATGTAAGTAATGCAGATTTAAAGGAATCAAGTTTTTTTTGTGCACTCTAGGCTAATCCCAGTAATTATTTTTGTGCATCTGAGATAGGACTCCCATATCTCGGAGAAGCTTCCACTTTTGTGCCAACCTCGGAAGGACGAGCGCATGGCAATGCTTGTTTTCTGGTGCCCCGTGTGCAGCACCCTGAACCACTACATCATGTGGCGGATGGCGATGAAGTACGCTCCCCATCTAGACAAGCAAGTGCGGTCCCTTTACGACAGGTTCATGCAGACCATCAACGGTATGTTTCCTGTCGTCGGCCAGCTAGGTGGCACTTGCTCTGCCACATTTTTTTAAGTTGAAGCGTGCCTCGTTTGGCAAAATAGATAACACGAACGAGAAGAAAAAAAAACAAACAAGAATTTGGATATCTGTCAATTGTAGCGCAAAAATCTCGTCCAGTATTTGGGCTTGCAACGAAAAATCAGCGTGTTGCAAATTGTCGTGACATATGCACCGAGCTTAGCTGTCCAACGTTTCCCTCGAGGGCAGACGCGGTGAAAAATGAAAGATGTTTACAATTCTGTGTAATGCGAAATTAGAGCGCAGCTCTTGAAAAGGAGGAGGGGAGGGTATGCATCTCCTCCCTTTCCGTACCCTTCCATCCTCCTCTCCTCCTCGCCTGCCATTTAGTGGGAAGTTTTCACTAAATTTTCTGCTAAATTTAGCGAAAAAAGTTTCCTGCTAAATTTAGTGGGAAATTTAGCGAAAATGTTTCTGCTAAATTTAGTGAGAAATTTAGTGAAAATTTGCCTGCGAAATTTAGCGGGGAAATTTCCCCACTAAATTTATCGGGTTAAGTTTCCCCGTTAAATTTAGCAGGAAAATTTCCCCGCTAAATTTTGCGGGGGAAATTGTTTCGCTAAATTTAACGGGGCGTCCCATAATGCAATGCGCGCAGTTATGCTGACGGCGATGCCGCTCAACCCAGAAGGGGGCGCCTAAGAGCTGCGTTCTAAAACGAAACATGGTTGCGTCCCCTGCAGGGGCCCCCGACGTGGACGTCCCCGAAGAGGAGTGGTGGGAGCAGTGTGCCAGGCACACGAGCCACTACCTGGGACACGCAGTGGGCAAGCTGTACTCGGACACCCTGGAGGGGAAGGAACTCCTTGTGCAGCAGGTGGGCTCCGTCCCTCTTTCTTTATGACGTCGACTTCCCCGCACAGCATTGGGTGGGGCTCCGGCGATGAGTGGCTAAAGGGTGGGAGAGAATGGGATGGCAAGAGGGTGCCTTCTTTCTCTTGTCTTTGGGGTGTGCCAGCACGGCACATCCTGGACACTGTGGTGCTGGATTTTCTTCATCGCCTACCAGAAGCCAGCGTAGTGCACGAATTAGGCGTGAGTGCTGTGTCAGCACTCGGATGGCATTCATGTCCTCACCGAGTGAACACAAGCCACTTCCAAATGCTGAAAAGAGTGCCTTTAGGTATGTGTGCGAGCAAGCGTAAAATTCTGCTGTAACTTTTTTTTTGGTTCTGATTGTTTAACAGCCTTCACTGGAAACAATCATTTAGGCATTTTGTGCTCTCATTAATCGTTGTTGTTATGAATTATACAAAAGTAACAGTGGGTGTGGGAATCAAGCATCACTCATATTTTTGTAAGCAGTTGACACACTCTTTGCCAGAGAGCTTATGTATAGTTCAGATTCTTTGCGGTCGAAAAATTTTAAATTGTTTTCAATATTTATAAATAAAAAAAAAAAGAGAAATTAACCTGATTCTTTAAAAGGAGGGTCATGCTACCGTCATGATACTCTCATGCTACTAGTATCACATGAATAAGCTAAAAATGGAATCCCGTGATTTACAATCGCTTTTCTTTCTACCGGCAATCAGAGCTCAAAAATTCTGTCGGTTGGTTTGACTTTTGTGTTTGTGAGCTTTGCCCTGTTTGTTAAAAATGTTAAAGAAAGAATTTCATGAAGTTAGTGTACTGGGTTCCCGAGTGGAAAGCTATAACCAAAATGGGCTCATTTTCAAACAGCAGTGAGCAGTATTTCTTCCTCGTGTGCAGACCTTCTCAGTTCTTGTGCACAACAATATTTTTATCGCTGTTTAGAAGCTGTTACGTCGATGCACTGCTTTGATGAAATCTGAGAGTACACTTGTAGAATGAACGTGCGGGCAACTGCTTGGTTGCAGGCTCGCGAGATTGCGGAGCAGGTACGGCAGTCTGCCAGCGAACGCATCAACTCCGTGGCGTGGATCCGCATGAAGCAACCACTCAAGGACAAGGTGACTCATTTGCAGGCACTGCTTTGTTGTTCAATATACACCTGACTGTAAGACCTTGGGATGGTTCCGCTAGAAGCCTCCAGCTGCATGGGGAGGTTCGAAAGTCTGTTTAATTTTGCTGACATATTAGAGCTTCCTTGGTAATCCTTATATTTTAAAGCTTACTTATTCAACACTTTTCAGCATACCATGAGTTAAAGCTAATCTTGAAAAACTGGGGGATAGGCACTTGTTCGTTCTAAAAGGAAAAATGCGAAAGGGCACTTGGTTGGCGGGCTTCGCTGCTTTGCACCGGTATGCACGCGTCAAGCTTCACCACTTTGCACCAGTGCACACGCATGAGCCTCCTCCACTTCCTACCAGTGTGCTCGGACAAGCATTAATGCAGAGGTGCATCTCGGTAAGCTATGTGGGCTCAGAAATCAGGGTGGGTGCTTGATATGCCCTTTGCTTGTTTTTCTAATGTTTCAAAAGTGGTGGGGTACACTTATTGTGATGTGGGCTCAGACACGTAGCGGGGGGGGGGGGCGGCATAGGGCTTCCCCCCCCCCCCCCCCCCCCCCAAAATCGTCCGTTTTGCTGGGACCTCCTCTCCCCCCTCCCCCTCATACAGCATTTTTTCATGGGCGCCCCCCCCCCCCCAACAAAAACCTGGCTACGTGCCTGTGTGGGCACATGCTCGGTATCTGGGGGTAATTGCCACAAATGCCGATGTATATTGTTCAAGGAATCTTTTTTTTCACACTTGGGAAAATACTTTTATCAGAGATTCTGCCCTAAGGTGGACTGCCCTAGAAGCATCATCTCTGGTCTTCTAACCTTTCTTGTGTTTTGAAGCCTTGATTTTGTTGAAAAATTGGTAAATTTTTGATGGTCTCTGATTTGCCTGAAAATTGGTTCCACACATCAATAAATAGACGAAGCTGAACTACGGCAATAACCCACTGTAGAATACTGTGCATCTGCCCATTCCACACTAAGTGCCCATTCCCAAATTTGTAAGATCTCAGGAAATATGCACAGTACATTGATATGTAAAATTGATGACTGGACAAGCGCCCAGCCCATATTTTTCCGCGATTATTTCTAAATTTTGAGTGGGCGCTCGCCCTATATTTTTGGCAAATTATAGGTTGAAGCAATTTTTTTCTCGGTAGATGTAATTTGGGCAGTGCATCTTGTTCCCAATGGGTTGCAGTGAATTTGGTGATGTGAAAAATGCTGTGGAAGCTCATTCCAGCAAGACTAAGAAAGAGTGTGGGACATGCTTTGTTTGTTAGACTGCCGGCTTGACCTGAAAGTTTTACAACATTTGACGTCATGCCTCTGAAAAGCACGGGGAAATTTTAATATTGATTTTGGCATCGGCTTCAGTTGCTGCCTTTTCAATCAGTACTCAGAATTTAGAGTTAATTAATGTTATGCCTGGAAGAGTAAGGCACGGATATTCCAAAATTATCGATAGTTCAGGTAGCTTGGAAAACTGCCAAATCTCCCCATTAACAAAGTGCAATGGCTCAAGTACAATCATTCTGCCGCAACCCTCCCCCCCCTCCCTCTCTCAAAACTGCATTGATTACCAAGTGGCCTTTTGTTTCGTGCTCGCAGATCAAAGACGTCCAGTTCCAGCTGGGATACTCGAAAGAACTCACGGACAAGAAGCTCGACGACTACTACCTCAATGTGAGTGAACAGTGTTCGATAGCATTTTGCACTAGTTGGATTTTTGGCACATGTTGTGAGCTACAAGAACCTAATGATCGACCACCAAAACCCTGAAAACATGTTGATTCAGGGAAACTTTTGAAGCATAGACACAGGGACATGAAACAACCCCTTTTGGAGTCACTGATGTCGCATTCCTTAGCGCCGGTTTTCTGGATCGACCTTGTCTTTGCTCAGAAGATAAGTGATTCTTTAGCGAGGCATTAATTGGGTGGTGGTCTCCACATTCTAGCACTTTACACAAAGAAGACAAAAGTTAAATTTTGGGGGGATGTGGCAGAGGCCTTGCCATGCAGTCAACCAGCGAATTCTCATCTATCAGGCTCTGTGCACTTTTGTTTGCCAGGTCGCAACAACATGATTGATAGGGTGCATAATATCTGAGATGCACTACTCTGCCCGAAGGCAACTAAAAACCATTTTTGTGCTTCTCACTGCGATGGTTGCATTTTGTCCTGCAGCTGATTGTGAAGCTGGGTTCCCATCTGGACAACGTGTTTGAGGCGGAGAAGTTCCTGACGATGAAGCAGGCTGCGCTTCTGAGGGGCCGGAGAGACAGCAAGCTAGATGAAATGTTAGTCTACTTTGTAGTCTCACTGCGTTAGAATAGGCCGTTCACAAACCGCACATCTGTTGCACTGAAGAAGTATTTTTGGGGAGAAATCATAGGGAGTTATAGTAAAGTGTTCTGATGACTCCGATAACGATACCCGATACTTTGCCAATATATCGGTGTTGTTGTTATCGGATATCGTTATTGGAGGTATCGGAGCAATCTACTGAAAAACTAATATTCCACCTGTATTGCCAATTATTACTATAACCAGTAACCTGAGTTTCAGCAGTTTACTCTATCAGGATTTTAGGCCATAGTGGTAATACAAATTTATTTGGGACCGGCGCTTCCTTTTACTATTGCAGGAGTTGCTATAAGAGGGTTCTACTGTACTTGCTTGACTTAAGAAAGGGGCACTAATGGAAACTGCAGGTAGCATCTTGAATGAGCCAGTTGGGATCATCTTTAGGTGACGTTTTCTTAACTTATTCTTACCGCACCTCTACATCTCATTACCAGAGGGCCACGCATGCCATGAATGAATTACAATTACCTCTATCTTAAACAAATTGTTCAGCTCGCTGGAGCCCCATTTTTTTACAAACCTCAATCTCAAATTGCTTGCATTGCTGAGACTCCTGAGGTTAGTAACCTGCATTTGTGGAAAAGAATGCATTCCTATGTTTTATACCTAATGCCACGAAAATAACCTTATCTATATAATGGTTCATTCGGTTGTCCTTCTTATTTGCAGGCAATCTTACATTGACATAAACTACTTAGTGAAGGCCTACAGATTTGCGGACCAGTCACTCATCGTTTGGGTCAGGAACTATTCGGAGTAGAACGCCAGGCATTCTCTTTGGGTGCCGTTAGTTATTGCTGTCTCCCTGTGGCATTCTGTGGTCCGTTATAAGCAGAAACGGTGTTTCCTAGTTACGAGTTTTATTAGTACCTGTACCTGTGATCTGTTTACGGGTGCATCCGCATCTCAGTGTCGCCTCTGATTGTCTCTCTAGGTGGCCCATCTCGCCGCAAGACACCGAAGCCATCTATCAGTACGAGAAGAACACCGTTGGTGAGATTCCCAGACCCACATTTTTTCCCCCCAAAAGTGGCAACAGTTCAAAAATTTTTGCCGCTCATCCTTTCACAGTACAATTGAAATACAAAGTGCTAATGATCCATATTAAATTTCATGCTCACCATCAACGCAGTTTCGTGATGTGCGGTTTTACAAGTATATCTAATAACTGACATTTCGCAAAAGAGTGCAATAAATGTATGCCAAAATGTGTTCTGTCATTCTCATTCCCGTATTAAGATTTTGTCGTTCCCGCATTAATATAAACTGTTGTCACGTTAAGATTAGCTTTCCCAAGCATTCACAACGTACATACATGTTATCTTCTAGCAACAACCCAAAAGCTACTCCGTATTTTATTTTCCGTATCACCATGGTTCCTCTTAGCTTTGTACATTGCCATTAACTTTCTTAGGCAGGTTTTTCGCAAATTGCATGCATTTTTAAGGCCAAGCAGTGGTGTCTTTCCGTGTATTTCGAGTCTGCCGAATTCTTCTTTTGCATTTGCTTGCTTATTGGCTCTCTTTACCGTGTATTTGTCCAGTGGTACCCCTGGCGGCATTGCAGAAGCCCATATTCTCACTGGACCAACACAAGTATGTTGCACAGTTCTTTTCCCAGCAATTTATTTGGCATCTGATCTATTTAAAGTCAAGCTGCTACAATGGGGACATTCTCTTTTTGTGTCGCATTCCTAAAAGAAGGGGATCTGAAAAGTGTCTACCATTATTACTTACTATTTTCAGCTTTCATGAATAACCTTTTAATTTTGAAAATCAGATCAGATTTATTGCACGAAGATGTGGACCCTTTGACAATGACTCATAGTTTCAACTTGAAACGAGAGAACCGAAACAAATAAACACACATTGGCCATCTCTAACGCAGCTAAAAAATGTTGTTTGTCAACCATCTCCTTTTATAGGTACATACCCTTCTGTCATTTCTAGAAAACCTTTCACAATGTTATTCCCTCAAAAATTGCCAAAGGTCAACAGCGTGACCCAATTAAATATCTTACAGAACTGTGGCCCAGGAATCCCGAAAAGGGAGCATACAATGAGCCACTCCACTAAACTGAGCGGCAATCTCTAAACTGAATAACCACTGTGCAAGGTGGTGTCTTGCTTGCAGAGGTTTTGGTCTGCATAAAATTATGTAGGTAGTCTACGAAGACTCAAGGGAAATGTTAGCGAACAGAAACACTATACTAATTGCTTTCCTTATCTTACTGCTCTTTTAGAGCGCAGCTCTTAGGCGCTCGTTCCCGTGTTTTGCGGTGGCGCCATCTCTGTAGGCATAACTGACCCATACACCAATATATTTCCACACTAAATTTAGCGAAGAAACCGAATTGGTGTTGAGGTCACTTGGCGTCAAATTTCCTGCTAAATCTATTGGAGAATCTGAATTTGTTTATAGGTCACATGACACAAAAAATTTTAGCGGGGATACTGAATTGGTGTTGAGGTCACATGCTGTTAATTTTCCAGCTAAATTTAGCAAGGAAACTGTTGGAGGAGGAGGAGGAGGAGAAAGAGGGGATTGTCCTTTGTACCCTCCCCTCCTCCTTCTTTGTACCCTCCTCTCCTCCTTCTCATATAAATAATATTGTTATAAATAACTAAGTTATCTATATTTATATATGTATAATTTATATCATGCACGCAGAAGTATGAGGTCTATATTTGCACATATAGACATTTCTTCCTCAAAATTCTTTAGCACGGTATATCGCAAAATCAAAATACCTCTAGAGCTGCGCTCTAATTTCGTGTTATAGAGATTTGTAAGCATCTTTCAATTCAGTGATGTGATTCCTGCGCCAATTGCGCCAAACTGCGCCAAGGGGCTGACCCAGCTACATCCTGCTACATTTTGCCAAAATGGAGGTAACCTGCGCCAAGCCTGCGCCAAAGGAGCAGTTTCGGTCGCTTTTCAAGGCCGAAACTAAACTGAGAACCGTAATTGCGCATGCATCACCTAGGTGGTACAAGCGGCCACCCGACACTGTACCCTGCATCAATCGTCCATCCGGTCTTGAATATTTTTTCCCGCCGTCCTAACCTCCTTGCCGCCGTCTTGCATTTTGCGCCCTCATGCCCAACGTTGCTCGTGCCCTCGTCCCTCGTCGTCTCAAAAATCTTGTCTCGCGTTGTTTTTTTTTTTATTTTTTCAATGATAGACGTGGGCGTCTGCGGACGCCCCGACGCTAAGGTGCCGGGTGCCAGCCATGCCGTCATGCTGTTAAACCAATCCACGTTTTTGGGCGGTGAGAGTTACTTTGTGAGCTGAAATGCCCACGCAACCAGTCACCGTGGTTGCGCGACGTCGGGTTTTGCTGTCCCCACGTCGCTGCAGATATGGCACTTTCTACACGTGTTTATCGACATTCCTGGCCTTCTTTAAATCATACTCCACTACAAAAAAAAAAAACCTAACTCAAAGACTGCTTGTCGAAATATTGACTACCTAGGTTTCTCTCAGTGGACTTCCTTTCGAGAAGGAGCTTGGTACGTGAAAAATCTGCCGCGAAAGAAAGTTTGTGAAGAGAAGTGAGCTAAAGCAAAGGAGGCAGTGTCTGCACGTTGAACCCGCACAGCGCGCTTGTTGCCTCGAGTTTGGTCGTTGCACAAAGCGCTCCAAGAACTTTCTGACCCTGGCTCGCAATGTCATGCATCAATGCGCTCAGGTTCTTTTTTTCTGTGTGTTTAGCTTGTACATCGCCTGTCGGCCTGGCAAGCGCAGACCACTCGACTGCTTTTTTTTTTTTTTTTGTATGCTGGACAGTTACATTTTGCACACTATTTTGGGAACCAGTTGGCAACAAGGGGGAGTGGCATTGTTTCGGTTTCGATTGAACAGCCATTGTCTCCGCTCGTGCAACGAAGCACGTACCACTGCAAGCCTGCTGAAGTTGCCCTCACGTGCATGTGAACATGACTGCATGACAGAGGTGCCAGCCGGGATGCTTGCAATTCATTGTTTTGCGTTTGCTTACTTTTCACGAAAATCTGGCACATTGGGAACTAGTAAAACGGTGGCAAGCATTCTTTTCGGAATTGCTTGGCAACGCCTGCAACACTGTACGCTTGTGGGATGTCTCAGCAGTAAAAAACAAACAGCGAATTCTGTCACAACTCACCACAAAGTTTCCTTCGTTTGTCCAGCAATTAAAACAAATATTTTTATTTTTCTGAGAATATCTGCTACAAAAGCCACTTTTGCTGCTCCGAAACACTGTTTGGGCTAATCCAAAAGCCACTTTTGCTGCTCCAAAACACTTCTGGCTGCTCCAAAGGCCACTTTTGCTGCTCCAAAACACTGTTTTGGCCGGTCCAAAAGGTGCTCCAAAATGGCTTAGGCCAATCACATCACTGTCAATTTTTTCCTGCTGTTTTTCGTATAGGTGTGCAAATATTCTAAACTTATAATAATTAGCGGACAATGTTTGCTATTTGGTTTGACTTGGAGCATACTTTTCCTCTCTGAAATCTTCAATTTTTCAAATATTAAAAATTTATAAATAATGTCTTCAGAATTTTCCAAGTTTTCACGTTAAAGGCTGATGTACAACCTCGGTTTTCTGCAGGAAAGAGAATCCTTTTAGCGCTCCCCTTTCCTAAGCTGCGAAGGGAGCCAAGTTGGGGCAAGTTAAAAAATGGAGAGGATATGGGAAAGGAGGAGGCAGGCAAAAGTGGAAAGCGCTAAGTGTACGTCGGGCCTTTAAGCTTCACTGCTTTGCACCAGGGTTTTGGAGTCGGTACTGGTGTGTGCCGATCAACCTTCACTGCTTTATGCCGGCGTGCAAGGAGAAACGGCTGATGAGTCGAAGCATCTCGGTTGGTTCGATAATCTTAAAAATTGTTCTCAGCCTTTTTTGGTTATAATCCTAGTCTGACCCTTGATTTTAAAGATCACTCAAAAAGTAAATTTCAAGCTATGTTCAAGCAAACAAGGTAGTCATTGCTTTGCTTGGCACGTTTTGTTTATTTTTTATGTTTTATTCAACTCATCTTATCGAGGCATTTTTTTTTTTTTCTCTCAGTGAATATTAGTATATGTGAAATGTTTCTGAAGTAATTAAACTGTTCTTTTTCATAGGTATCCTTTCTAAAAAAAAATATTTCCAGCTGTTATTTCTTAAAAATATTTGTGCTCAATACTCAATCAATGTGAAATATTTGAATTAAAAAATATTCCAATTGGCTTCACAGTCAAATTTTTATTTTTATATTTTTATATTCAATTTGCAATAAAAAATTTAATATTCGCTTGCCTGTACTTTTTTTTTTTTTTAACTCTGTGAATTTGGACGACAACATTTTAGGGGGCTGTTGGCAAATCCTGAGCTCCATATGTGCCTAGTGATTACGTGCACTGACATGCTTCGAGAGAGCAGTCGGCCATCCCCCTCCCTCCCCTCGCAGCTCTCGCTTGGCTCGGAACAAAGCGGGACAGACTCGCAGCCGAGCGGAGTAGCGCTCATCGCGCCGCCGCCGACTCCATTTGACTCAGTCCAAGTGTCTCTCTTCCAGAGCTCTCCAGTACGGATCATTTGGCAGCCTCGTGGGGAGTCTCATGTTCAAGACCATGGACAGGACAGGTAAACTCGATCGACCCGTTTGACACGCTGTCAGTTTTGTCACAAAGCTTCTGTTGTGAATGGAAACGAAACAGCGCATAACACAACCCACTTCAAAACAAACCACGCTGCCATGGCGAATACCCTCAAAGTTACTGTCAAGTTTCATGCGATGCTTTTACCTGTAGTCTATGTGGAGCGCAAGTTTATCTGCTTCTTGCAGAGGGGTTGCGACGATGTTAAAATGCCGAGCTCTTGTTGGCTGATTAAAAATAATGGTGGGTAGACCTCAAGGCACCTAGCATTGAGGTCTACCCACTATCTTTTCAGTCAAAGCCAATCGGAGCTCGGCGTCGTTTTGATGTCACCGCAACTCCTGCACAAGAAGCAGACGACTTGCTCTCCGCATACTCTACATTTACATCAACTAGTATTTTGTGCTACATTTTCGAGGCCGGCGTAGCTTCCATTGCGCTTCAGCCTTGCACTGCATCGAGAGAGTGTGGTTTCGTCCCGTGTCTCGCTCCCACGTTCTCTCACGTGAATGAAGGCCCATTCACACTCTTGCGATCTCTTAGAACTGGGTTCCTTAAAACCTCTCACAATGAGAGACCACACTGGAGTCATCTATTGAGTAGCAGTGTAAACTTGGCAGTCCAGCATATTTTCTATTTTTCTCGCGCATTATTCTTTCTTGGCTCGAAAAACTTTAGTCAATGTCATAAACGAGCCTTTCTTATAGGTATTTCACACATTTGACCTCGGAAATCCCGCAAAACCTTTGCTCTTGTGAAATGTAGTTCCAGGGTCACTGCATAGATGGTGCCAGGGTGCCAATGTGTTCTCTCTTGGTCGTACTCGGTTGCAAGTGTGTGAACAGGCCCTGAGACGCCAAACGAAGCCCCGCGCTTGTGCACATAGCTTCGACGGCGTTGGATTACTGCAGAAGCCATGCTTGCCTCGACAGTGTAGCATGAAATAGTTGACACCAAGTATAGTCGAGCATGTAGCTTACTTTCTCGCTAGAAACATGCGCCGTTTAGTTAGAGCTGCATGTTACGCCGCAGCTTCATTTTCACAAATAAGTCGGTGTGCACTTTGCCGACACTGAGTCAGGCGGCAGGAGGGCATTGTGCAGGGAAGCGGTGTCCATCATTGGTTGACAAACTTGTGCCGTTGTGTTACGACAGTCAGGTTCCATGCACTGACATGGCAACCAGCTAGAAAGAAAGGAAGATATGCAAAAAAACAAATGAAAACGAGTAAATTCCTCAGCTGACTGCCGGGTCACTCCGGCACGGTGTTATCAACTCGGCAACTTTATCATTATTGAGCAGAGGAAGTTGCTGTCTCATGAACGTGAAGGTTAGTTGGTTCCGAAGGGTATAGATGTTTCCAGATTGTCGTCGACGAATGAGTTTTTGTTTTGTTGCGTGCATCATTGTTTTCGAGTTTGTAACTTGCCAGTCTGAAGAACTCTATGAGACAGCATGCATGGTTCCCACTGGAAACCTACGATCAGTCCTCCAAGGGCGTCGAGTATAGCTGCACCAAAATCAACATGATGGAGAATGACACCCATCCTCAGTTAGTCACACACATGCCTTCTGGCTTGGAAACTCACTGCTTACTGGACTTTAGAATCTGCAGAGAAATGACCGGACACCTTAATTTTGAGTTTTCAGTAGTCTTGTGCTAATAGTGGATTTTGAGTTTGAAGCGAATTCGAAGCAAATAGTGGTTTTGGCCGAATATTTTCAATTCGAATATCGAATGGTTTTTCCACGCCTTTCACTATCACTAAAGTAGCAATTTGGGCCAGTTGGTTCATAATCACCTAAAAGTGCCAAAAAACACAAGGACAAGGAAGTAGACAGAGCGCTCTTGTCTGTCTACTTCCTTGTCCTGTTATTTTGGCGCGTCTTTAGGTGCATTCACTACCATTGCATAATGCTTAGACAAAAACCCAGCTAAACCTGTGAAGGTTGTTCCACGTGTTCATTTATGAGCTAAGGTTAATCTATTTAATTTATGAACTGTAACCTCAGAAGGTCTGTTGTCTTGGGATGGCAAGTAAACGACGGATTTGACATTAAAACGAATCCTTTAAAAATGGTCAACTATACCCAATTGAGTGAATTTACAAATCTTGCTCTATAAAATATCCTTTCTTTAATCTCGAGTTAAAAAAGAATGAATCGCACATGATGAATGCAGGTTGTAAGGGCATCTCTGCCTAACATAGTGTACTCTTGCATAACAGTTTAATTTTGAAACTTTTACTACAATGTAGATATACACATTCACAAAGTTTCCATTTATTTTCAAATACAGTCGGCACGGGTGCACCATCCCGCTTTAAATGTATGCTTTTCTTCCAAGCACGCAATTACGATATTCATACAAGTGTTTATCGTGGCCGGTTACTCCGTTGAGTGCGCTTCTTACCGAGCACCGATGTAATGCAGAGAAGCGACACCCGCGGAGCTTGCTTCCGCGGGTATTGCTTCTCCGCAGCGCACCGGTGTTTGGTAAGAAGCGCACTCAACGGGGCAAACCCGCCGCAATCAACACTTCGAAAAACGCGAATAATGCAGTTCTTCTCAAAGCGAAGATCGAATAGTGCATTATTCGGAACTACTATTCGAAATTTCGAATATTCACACAACCCTAGTTTTCAGAGTTGTGTAGATCACATTACATTTAGTCCTAGTGTGTTTAAAGGGCAACTCCACTCCATTTTTACAATTTTTGGTTTATGATCTGTTTAGTCGAAGCCGGCGACCCTGAATCACGACATATAATTTGTTTTTCGGTAGTGTGTATAGTTTTGTAGATATCGCGAATCCAAGTATCGTCCCGGCGGCACGGCGAAACCGAAACTACAGACTGAAGCAGCTTGGCAACACTGATACTAGTGGCGCGTCGTCGTTTCGCTACACGCTTCTGAGCCGACGCGCCGACGCACCGACAATGTCGGCTCAGTCGCACGTGGCGTTTCAAAACAGAAAGTTAGATGCACATTTTCTTTTTTTACCGCTTCACTTTGTTAAGATGCACCAAACGTAGTAAGTTTTAGTGTGTAAAAGCGAATCCGACTGCTAGAAATATGACGCGCGGTCGGTGCCGGCGCAGCGTGACTGTATTTGTTTCTTGCTCGCGGACCGAGAGAAAACGAAATAATGGGAGATAGATGGACAGATGTATCCACAAGTGGTCCAAGTTGTTGAAGCCAAGGTGCCTTTATGTGCACGCTAGTTAGATCAGCCGCGACCTGCTGCGTACCGCCGATCGTGCTGGAGCAGCCGGCGGGCGGTACGCCAACAGCGACGGCACCGCATCGTTCTTCAAAGACGTATGTTTCGTGGAGAAACCCGCAACAGTCAGCAGCCGCAGATCCCGTGTGTAGGTGTCTGACGTAAAGTGCTGGGAGCAGAGCTTCGCGTTGGAGCTCGGAGTCAACGGTCTTCCGAAGTCTATCCGGCGAACGGCACCGACCCACACCTTGTGCCTCTTCCGGTCTCTTGGGAACTGGTGGAACCGCAGCTCCGGGTTGCGCACCGGTTTGTTGGTGCAACCCACAGCACTACAAGTCGTGCTCGACATTGCCCAACGCGAGCCCGGCAAGTCTCTCCGGCTCCACGACGTGCGCGTGAGCGAGCAGCACCGCTTTGCTCTCTTCCTCGCTGTCGCGGAAGCAATGCTGGAGTTAAAGGAACTGCCTGGACGCTAATAAAAATAGGAAAACACAGGATAATGTGGTAAACACCTCGTGCCGTCAGCAGAATCGCAGAATGCCACGGGAAACGAAGCGTTCGCGGCGTCCGTACGAGAGCGTAGGACCAGACCTACGTCATTGCCCATTGTTGCTTCACTAGCTCACCCGGTGCCAGCGTTGCTCACCCGCTTTCGGGCCGCTAACCGAGCCGGGAGAACATTTTTAATATTGGTTTTAATCGGTAACGCGGCGTCGGTTTGACGTGATATTTTGGGTATGACCGTATTTTGACCTCCTAAAGCGATATCAGTCATTTAGATAGGGTCGACTTTTTGAGTGGAGTTGCCCTTTAAGTACCGCTTTCTAGGCTCACAAACACAGGCTTTTGTTTTGGATGTTAGTACCACTGTATCTGCCATACTGTGCATCTCCAACTGGTTTGTTTATAGTAGTATCTTTATTTTGCTTGTTGAACTTTAGTCGTATGGTGATGTCACGGCTGTGCACGTCGAGCAATTCAGTGCGCAAGTTTGTCTGCTTTCTTGCACAGGGGTTGCAATGGTGTCAGAATGCCGAGCTATTGGCCGATAGAAACAAATAGTGGTTAGACCTCAAGGCATCTTGCCTTGGTTACCCACTATCCTTCCAATCAAAGCCAATCAGAACTCCTCGTCATTCTGACGTCACCGCAACCCCTGTGAAGAAGCAGATGACTTGCTCTCCGCATAGCTTGCTTGCCTTATACGCACGTGTCACAGCACCTTTTTTTCATGCAGGAATGGACATGGGATCCCAGCCCGTGTTTTCAGACAATACAACCCGCAACGAATACCAGGCTAAGTTGCGCTGCCTGGCCGAAAGCTACCCGAGCCTGTCCAAGGAGAAGGACCTCAAAGTGAGGGCTTGTGCAACATGCGCATGTATTTTCCGCAGAAAATTGGAACCAAGATGCGTTTTGCAAAAGATCAAAGCATAGTGGTCAAGAAAAGACATCACAAATGTTTTACCTCAATGAGCAACTGTCACATTTTGGTGGGAAGACTCTCGAAAATATTTTACCTTGGCAGGCAAATATACCATTTGGCTTTGGAGCAAAGATAAGAAATCTTATTTTTTTTGCAAATATAGTAGCAAGTATGGGTAATGCACATGACACTAAGTTCCAGGTGGCCACTTTTTTTGCATCAAGACTGGCTTCTTGCCTAGTCTAAGACAGTGCAGAAGGGACTTGAAGCCTCAATAAATTTATATGTTACAGCCAACGAAATTCTCGGTTGCATTTTGAAATACTCTGTCCTTTGAAGTTAGCTTTATGTAAGTCAAATACCAAGTGCGTAATGTGTCGTTCTGTGCAACACCATATTATGTATTTCCATATTTCCAGGCTGTTTGCCATAGATTGTTATACCACCAAGAGTGGTTGCCCAAAACCACGGCTTTTTCAAGATGCCATCTGCATCAACCGTGCACTTCCACGTGTTTTTTCATTTGGCCCCATGCTTGTGACCCAAATTACAGACACTTACTGCAAAAGCTCTAAGTGCAAAGGACCCCCTTTTGAGGAGTGTTTGCTGAATAGCCACTTCTCTCTTGCACAGATCAACGGACAGTTGACTGCCGGAGAAGCCCTGGCGGATGTGGCCGGGCTCGTGGCAGCCTACCAGGTGAGTGGATGGTCAGCCGGTTCGATCGAAGCAGGCGGAAGAATCGAATCTGTCTCTTCTCTGTGTGGCTCGAGCAAAGCTACAACAAAGCCTTGGACTGCCGAGACTTTTTTTCTTTCACTTCCTCCTCAGTTTATGGGCTCAATATTTTTTTCAAAGGCTGGTGACAGCAGCCCAGCTTATCTCTTGTCCGCAGCAGTCTTGCAGCGGTCGTCGATTCACGAGTACAGGTAGCTTGGAAGCAAACCTGTGGTGAGCATATCTGCTCGGTTAGTTGAGGGACATGTCTGAACACAAATATTTCACTAGGAGCCAACGTTAGGCCAAAAATCCGGATGTTCCAACGCTGCTCCGGCACCTCATATGCGATACACATGCTCTGTAGCTCTGTTCTTAGAAGGACCACGCCTCCCGTGCACTCCAATTTGTTGCCAAAAAACAGCAGGAGGCTGAACAGTGGGGATGTTTAGATGGCTAGAGGTTGGTGCGACCTGGAATGTGGCCACTTGCGCATTTCCATTGTTGTGCTGCCTCTGAATGAATGAGTCTCCTCCCATGCATGCAGGCATTCAGGGAGAAAGCAGATGGCATGGAGAGGCTGCCCGGTCTGGACTGGTCTCCAGAGCAGCTCTTCTTCATTGGCTACGCTCAGGTAAATGTAGGCCTGCAATTTTTGCCAAAGAATGGCAGTTTATGTGGGGTAAAACCGTAATGATAAATGTTTTTCAGGGGACCGCAGTAAAAAGAGGTGATCCAAGAAAATGTACCTACCTGGCTGTGGACTGGCATTCATAAACTTAACAACTAAGAAAACGTATAAACCAAGAGCATATCACCGAGGCTCTACTGCATTTTAACAATAAATGAAAAACAAACATAATTTAAACTATGTCTTTCGTCCTGTCAAAATTACCGAAGGGAAACCAGCTGCAGAAGTTGTTTGTCAAATACCTTTTCTGTGTCGCATCACCAGTTTCCTCTTCGCCGTAGAAACCTTTGCATGCCACCAGATTTGTTTTTCTTGACCTTTTCTTTAATCTTCTATCTTTTCTAAATATGATCTTGATTTTTCAAAGATGTGAGCCACGTTTAGCGCAATTAATTTAGTAGCTATTACTGACGTACGCAATTGAGGGCCGCTTTGTTTAAGGCAGTGAGCAAAGACTGATCCCGTATTAAACTTTTTGCAAATTAAAACCCGCTATATTCCCTGCAAATTTTATTCAGGCAAAATTGCAAGAGCCGGCATTCGCTCAAATCAAGGAGCCGAGGGTAATGTAACATCTGTGTGGCTCACGAATATTACAGAACATACACATAGGACTAACAGTTTTTTATAGCGGCCAAAGATAAAATTTATGGGGTCCAGAAAAGAACTCTAAATTGCCAACCGATTTTTCTTTTTTGCTGGCACGAGAGTCCTAAAGGTGATCAAAGCCATGGCAGTTTTTTTCTTCTCTTTCTTCCGGTCAATTTTATGCAGAGGCAGCATGGTAGGAGAAAGCGTACATTACGTAGTGCTTCTAAAAAGGCATACTACTGGGTGTATCAAGGAGTGGCCAGGCTCTTTAAATCGACCGCAAAATTCGGTTTCTTAACCTATCGCGCTACGACTTTGTGCAGCGTTGCCCACAGATGGTGCATTCTTTTTGTAAAATTTGCAAAGAGCAAACTTACCTGAAGAAAAACTATAGAAAGAAAAAGGCATAGCTCCTATGGAAATGCGGCGAAGCCAAAGGTCTTCAAACGATACGGCGCCGAGAGCGGCGTCTTTAGCAGAAATGTTCCAAAAGCCGGGATTCATGATTAAAAACAAATACCTCTGACTTGCATGACAATAGGAGACGAAACGCCTTATAAATTGTTGGTACTGTTCTGCAAGTTGGAGGTATTTGTTTTTAGTCTTTAGCAGACAATCCTTTCAACTCATAAGCGGCGCGAGCTTTTCTGATATCAGTTGCCAATGCATTATTTTATCATCCTTACTGATAAAACATATTGAATGGACACATAATCGATTAGAAAAATGGTTTGTTGGGATATTTTGACTGTTTTTTTCGGGGTACCGATGTCGTCTGCTTTGCAGTTCCTTGTTGTTACCGCGCCCGTTTTTGTTTCTGCGACTGTCGCCGCCTGCGGAACGTGCTCCGCTTTCGTGTCGAAAAGATTGTCTGCTAATGACGCCAGCTTTCATCGCCATATGCTCGTTCGTTGGCGCAGCTGGCATTGCGACCGCTTGCGCCAACTCTTGTCTCCCATGTGAAACGGCGCCGTATTGTTTGAATACCTTTGGCTTCGCCGCATTTCCATAGGAGCTAAGCCTTTTTCTCTCTTTACTTTTTCCTGAGGTAAGTTCGCTCTTTGCAAATTTTACAAAACAAATGCACCATCTGTGGGCAACGCTGCACAAAGTCGTAGTGCGGTAGGTTAAGAAACCAAATTTTGTGGTCGATTTAAAGAGCCTGGCCACTCCTTGATACACCCAGTATATATGATCCAGAGTTTAAGTGGTGTAATGTCGTCAAGTCGGTCTGTAGCTGTAGGAAGGCCGGCTTGCAGATACGTCTGTGTGCTCCAGCCCAGTGAGTGACCTCTTTGTGGATTAGGGTCTTTCTTTTACAATGCAGTCCATGTGCGAGAGCATTCGAGAGGAGCGAGTGGTGAACTGGAACGTCACCAGCACTTCCGCACCCAACCGCCTCAGGTGAGAACCGGCACTAGCTCCTCGTGTCACAAGAAAGGATGTGGAAGATATTGCCGGTATTATTTGATGCACATTAAACAAACTTGCGAGTTTCTTTCAGTTAGGATGTGCAGGTCTCCCTTTTTTCCTTTTTTTTTACAATATATCGCGGGAGCGTTGACCGGCGGCCCCGTCAGTGCCGCATCGGGGGGCATTGCAACGATACAACAAGAATAAGTGCATATGCAAGCATCACCTGATAGACTCTTCTGCTGATTACACATAACCCCTATGGCGGATAGCTCTACCAACAAACGGGGTCGTGCCGTTTGTTGTCATGGTCTCGGCAGTTCGATGCAGATGTTTCGACAAAAAAAGATGTGAATGCCAGTGTAGCTGTCACCACAGTGCGTCGGCTCCCATCTGCCAAAGCTTCCGTGAAGCGTCACGCAAGAGAGCGAATAAAGCGTGAGACTCATGCGCGAAAAATTCATCTGATCTGACGTCCGATCCGAAAAGCTTGGTCGCTTCAGACGTCAAATCGGCGATCTGGCAAACGTCCGACGTGCCAGATAGTTTCGCACGGCGGACGGACTGTCGGAAGCATCCAGCCAATGACAGCACAGCTAGCGCGAACGTGATGATGACGTACTGGGTCTAGCGTTATGGTCTGGCAGGATGAGCAAGAAAAAGGGACTGACCTGGGCGACAGGAAGCCGGACGCGTGAATTCCGCTGACCCATTCGAGAAAGATGGCCTCAGCAAAGAATGCACGCGCTAGCGACAACGAGCTCCTAATTTCGCTCGTCCGAGCTGAACCGTCAATCTGGGACCAGAGATCTGCCCTGTATAGGAATGCGGATCTCTGCTGGAGTGCTTGCGTGGGCAGAGCCGAACGGATCGTTGTGTCGCATGCAAGGTCAGAAGTGTGTGTCTCAAACTGTCGCGTGCGGCGATTCGGAGCGGCATTTGGACTGTCGAATCGGATGTCGAATCGGACGATTCTGCCGTCCATGTGTCTTGCGCTTTGCAGCAGAACACACATCTGCCGCGTCCACCTCCGCCACGTCACCACCAGGATCGCGGCAGAGGAAAACGCGACGAACGTGTGACGTCGTTGGGCAATCGTAATCGTAATCATAATCTTTATTGGCTCAGGAGAGCCGTGGCACCGCGGAAAGGCGACAGCCTGTACCATGGAGGCCCGCGGTGCCACGTCTAGTGATGATGATTATGAGATGATATATACAAGGGGGGAACCGCAAACGAGGTTGCAGCAAACGCGGCAGTCGGAGATGCGTTTCGGGCACCGCGGCGGCGCTCCTCCCGGTCTCACCACCCACTGGCGGTGCACCGTCCGTCCTTCCAGGGTGCTTCAGACGCTGCAGCAGGTCCCGGAGTTTGCAGCCGCCTTCCAGTGCAGCGCAGAATCGGAAATGCGGCGCAACAGGGAACCCTGTTATGCCTGGTGAAGTCCGCCCCGGGGCAACGAGCGGCACCTCCACAGGGGTGACTCGAAACGCCGCGATTGCAGCAGGGGGCAGCACGTGCGAACGCTTGTGCACCACTAAAAGGACCGTACGCTCAATTGATTCGGACAGTTCGTAGCCTCCACCGTGATTCGAGTTTCGTCGAGCCGGACGAGACATCTCCCTCAAAGATCGTCCTCGCTCGGTGGAGTTCCAGAGGCTGGTCAGTGTCGTGCAACAATGCCGGCTTCACGGGGAAATGCCCACGTTGTGTGCCAGATCAAAGGCAGCTCACTGTTGGGGATGTTAATGATGGGTGGCAGATGCGATTGGTCTGTTAATTTTAACGCAGTTTTTAGTGCCGAGCTACACGTTGAAACTAATACAAAGCCTTCAGCAAGAAATAAAGAGATAGCAGGGGCACTTTGCTTCGGAGGTGCACCGGAGTTAGAGTGAACTTGCCACACGACCAGTCGTTAGCAAATGGCTATAATGACGATACCTAGAATGTTGCTGCATTCGAGTGATGTGCTTTTTTTTTTAAACAAATGTAAGTATGATTTTGTAATGATCGGGTGATTGACTGTATTTGAGTTGTTGCAAAAAATTGTTGCAAGAAAGAAAGAGATTTATGATGCCCGTATAAAAGAGAGCCACAGGAAAAGAGCCTTTAAAATGTGTCTTTTTTCTTTTTGTCGACATTACTGCATTCGAGACAGTTTTTTTCTTCGACGAGCAGCACGCCGCACTTCCCATCTGAGGTTGGAGTGAGGCAACCCTCAAAGTTTCTAGGTTAGGAGCTACCCTAATGATGGAGCGGTGGACCCTGCAGCGGCAGCTCAAAGACTAACTAGCAGTGACTCGCTTCTGTGTAAACAGGAACAGAAATGCATTGTTGGGGGGGGGGGGGGGGGGGGTGCCGTGCCTCATTTACGGAAACAGAAATCCAGTCCCAATTCAAAATGGCAGGGTTTGTCCCCATACTGATCTCGAACGGCACGGCTAGATTCTTCAGTATTCCCGAAGGTTACCATGATCCTTGTTTTGGACGTGTGGAAGCCTCGCCCCTGCAGCTACATTGTCGGCGTCTCCATCTAAAATTGCAGTGGTTGGAAAGTGTGAAATGCCCGTCGTTTGTGGCATCAGTCGTGTGGATCTCTTTTCCAAAACCAGTCTTCCAATCTCAGAATTTGTTATTTGAGGTAAGCGAGTTTATGAAAGAACTTTGTGTTAAGAGAAATTAGTTTTCTACACTGCCTTATACGTATACATGTTTTGTGCATTCCACTGGGACACGTTACCAAACATGGGAACATTTTTGTGAGTGTTTGTTAGCTTTCAGTCAAACTAGGCCACAGCAGTAGCCCGAAATCACCAGGAAAGCTGCTTGTGTACATCGTTTCCCCTGCACTGGAAGACCCGTTTCAACGCCTAGGGTCTCATTGCGCCCATTGGGAGACGCACATTCTGTTTGATGCTGTCTCAAATTGGTTGCACGGAGGTACAGTCGGCACAACAAGAGAATAGAACAAGTGATTGACGGCTGAAGTGGTGAGATCGTTGCAAGGAGCGCTCTGGTGTCGCGAACTTCCCGGGAGCAAGAGTGACTAGACCATTTCTATTTTTCGATCTGGGGGGTACATTGGCAGACGGTTATCACTTGGCAATTATCTTTTTATTCGAGGGCGATTTTTTCTCGTTGGTCTGCAGGACATGAATAAGAAAACATGGTAAATTTTATGCCGTACTCAGTTGTATATATTGTAGTTGCCCTTACTGGATGTTGATTAAAATTTTGTTGCAGTTTGCAAGCATTTCTTCTTCTTTAACCAATTTACATGACAATACAGGTTTGTTTGGGGAAAACTTTCTTCCTAGAAGGACGCTGTAATAAATCTTGGAACTGCGCTCGCTTGGCACCGTGTTTTGGTGATAACAGAAGTCCCATTACGATGGCATTGTGCATTTCGGGTACTGGCATCTGTCAGTCTTGTCAGTTGAGTGTCTTAGAAGCTGCCAGGGAATATAAAATATTAATTAAATACTACAATGAATCTATATGTTCCCAAGAAGCAAGCAAGCATAACTCTCACGCCCAAGGTGCAGCACATGCGGTTCAGAGGTGCTTCAGAAAGTGTTGAACCTTTCTGAGCCACAAAAATTGGACATGCTCGGCTTTTTCGCTCCTGGTGGGTTTGTAAAATTGTAGCGCCACGCGTCACCCTTTCCCCGGACTCGCAATCACTCCCTTGCACTAATCTCTCTTTGTGCCGACTGTACCGGAATCACTAAGCAAGAACTCGGACTTTCGTAACATTGCATGCGACGCTGCCTAGGAACGCACCTTGGCAAAGGGGATGTGCAAGTTCTTCTTGCAAGCCAGCAACAAAATAGAAGTGAAAAAACATTAATTGAAATTTTTCTTTAAATTTTCTTACGGTGGGTGTTTCATCTGGAGTGTTGTCATGAAACAGTCTCAAGTCTTCGTTCCAGTGGGCCTGCGCTTAAAATCTTGAAAGTAGGGGACGGCAAAAACTGAGTATGCCGCAGATGCTCGATTGTGTGTGCGTAGTGCAATGCCATTCGGGCTGGACCCTGGGTCTGTGTTCCTACGGATACTCTGTCTGCAGCCATGTTCTTTGTGCTTTTCGCTGGAGTATGTAGGTGCGTCGAAGGCCCTGCCGTTTCTGAATGCACCGGCTACAATAGACTTTTCTAGCCCGCAGCTGTAGCAGGGCCTTTCAGTGTATGTGAAAATGACTCAGTGGGCAACTGTGGAAGTTGAGCACGATACGTTTGATGCATGGGTCAGGTTGACTGCAAGCGGGAAAACCTGTACGGGGTGAAAGCAACACAAAGGAGCGAACGGGAAAGCATTCATTAAAAACAAAAAATTGTGCATGCTAACATGGGATGTAGAGTACGATGTCATCAGCTCATGGGGAAAGGAAATTGCGGAGCATCTAAAAACCGGCCCAGGTAGAAGTGGTGACAAGCAGAACCAATTATAATGGTTGCCAACACTAGCTTGCATACTAATATGGCCAATTCCACCTACAGGCTTAACGCTGAATTTCAGAATAATAGTACAGTCTATAAATCAGTCAAGTTGCGTGCGACAGTTCTGCGATATTTCTTCTATAGCCTCGTCAAACTCGAGCTTTTTGTCGATAAATGTGAAGAACTTTTACAGAGTGGCACCTTAGAAGTGCAGATGTAGGCAGAAGGCCACTTCTTGCACAGAACCATGCGTAACTTAGTTCTTCCTCATCAGCAAGCCCGACATGGTCTAGCGCATTCTTTGTAAAATACTAAGGTACCACTCACGGTTGCTATGTATTTACACACAACTTGGTTTGTCTGTTCGTTGTTTGCTTCTTTAGAATGTGTCCAGTTCGGGTTGCATTTTATAGGTCGTTTCTGTTGGACGGTTTTGTGTTGGGTAGGATCAAGGACATATTTTGTACAAATGCATTCCAACTTCATCTCTCATAAAACCAATGTATGCTTGTACGCCGATGGAGAATAAAAAAAAATGACTTTTCGACTCGCACAAAAGGATTCCGTTCCATTTTTTTGTTCTTTACCTACGTTCATCTTTGTTGCATCCTTTGGTAGATCCTGAAAGAAGCTGGCACAACCTCTTGGGATATAGGTAAGGTGGATGGCCCACTAACACTGTTGTGGTCAAGAAAAATGCAGGAATGACCACCGCAACAACATCGTCCTCAAGTGCGATATCGCGACTCCAGCAAAACGGACGCCGCCAAGCGGGAAAACCGGGAACCAGCCGGTCCAGGTCGCTCCGCGCCCCTCCGCGTCTCTGGTGGCTTTCGCGGAGACGTGTTGTCGGCGCGGTGGCGAACAATGTAATTTGACGAAGGTCCGAATATTTCTTAAGTTTGCCTGAGTGATCATTAGTGTGGTGAAGCCTCAGTAGGTTGTTTTCTTCTATTACATGTTTGAAAGCCCGTTTACTCCACAGCACACGGTCGCGTGCTTTCGATTTCTTGGATGGGTAGGAATCACGGAAAAAATTTTTGATTTCTTGTCTGTCTCGAATCACATTCAAAGTGACGACTGTTTGGTAACTGATACTGGAGGGAACATCAATGTTGCAGTCAAGTGAATGGGAAGGTTCGATAGCTGCTTTTCTTGAGTTTGGTTGTGTTCGGTTAGCTTCAAGTTTGAGCCACCCACGCCGGTCGGTGCGTTGGCTATTCATCTTGGCTGCTTTTCGCCGAAAAAGCCTCTAGACCATACTGAAGGAGTTGGGCTGATTTCGCAATTACTTGATTCAGGAAAACTTGCTCGCTGCAAATGATGAATGGGGGAAATTATCTGTTTTCAAAAGGTGGGAGACAAGTCTCGCAACGTTAGATGCTGTCACGGCATTTTGACCTATCGCGCCTCCAATATTTATATTACGAGGACGTCGAAGCCAGCTGCAATATACGTCTACATTGGTCAGATTGACCGGCCACAAAAAAATACAAATTTTCTCCGTTTAGGATTTGAAGCAAAGTTCAATGCAGAAAGGTTCTGCGCGGATCTTCAATGAAGACTCTCTTCAGTTTGTCTCCGTGCTGCCGGCTATAGAACCATTTGGCTAAGTTTAAAGGGACACTGACAGGGTATTTATGCTCGCCGAGGTTTTTAGTTGTACGTGACATATGAGAGCTCAACTACCCAGAACAGAATTTGCGGCTCGAAATTCGGTTTCTTTCCGCCCGAAAACCGCCGATCAAGAACTGGCCGGTTCGAGTCTCGCTCACTCTCTTTTCCGCGGTCACGGGCCGTTTTCTAAGGTATCGATGCGACCACCAAATTTAATCAAAGTCGTGGGTCACTGAAGGCACACACTCATTATTAAAAATAGAAAAAAATATAAAACCCATTTTTTGTGGCTTCTAAAAAGCTGCAAATACGTTGATTGAAAAAAAAGTTCCACAGACAACCGGAAGCATTCTGTGCGTGCGTCGGCGATGGCAGCGGACGACGGGCGTGGGACCTCTATTTCAGAACTGTCGTTCGCGGTACTGGCGAATTTTGTCTGCCTTTAAAAGAGAAATTTGGGACTGGTCAAAAGAATTGGTATTCATCCCGTACGACACGCCCGACCACCAAGCCGATTTGCACGAAGACGTCGCCGAGCCGTCGCTCCCTTCTTGTGGCTGAAGACATCGCTCGCGCAAACGTCAAGCGCGACGTGTCTACTTCGAGTGGAATATGCACGCGTACGATTTCTTTACTAGGTGAGAATGTCGCCAATGCGTGGTGCATCCCGACTTCGACCCGGGAGTGCTTTTGCTAGAGGAAAATCGGCAGCAAACTTTCCAATTTACAGTTTATCGGCTGATTATTACTAAGGAAAAAGATACCCCACTTTCGATATGCGCCAGTAGCTCAGTGGGAAAGACGTCCCCTTCACACCCGGTAGAGCCGGGTCGATCCCCCGTGAAACTTTTTTTTTTCTAAATATTTTTGATGTCTACATTTCTTTTTTTTTACAATTATTACTGAAGAAACAAAAAAAAAATAAGAAACAAATGTTGTGGACGACACGTCGCTGAATTAGATGGTATAGGATATCCTTTTTGACGCCTGCGATCTGAATGTAATCACTTTCCACAAAATGCAAGGAGCATATAAATCAGGTAGCGCCCGCTTTCCGAGGTGCCCGTAAATGGTCTACAGGAATTGCAGCCAGCCATTGGTCCCGATCCCGTTGATCTTTCAGAAACTCTGTCGCACAATGCCACTTCTGTTTCGGACGCGGGACATGTGAGCCAGCTCTTCACGCAACATCTTGGGTGCATTCTTTTCGGAGCCCATCAAAATTCACCACGGGCACTCACTACTCATCTCCAACTCCTCAATGTACAAAACAACTCATCTTGGAGTAGAGAACAACGAGCGGAACATACATAACTGCAAAAGAATCCCACGGCGAGCAGTTCCCATACGCCGCATGTCGTCTGCTACCGGGAAGGAGAGAAAAAAAAAAAAAAAAAAAAAACACGGTCGGGTTTAGCCACGTGATTTCCGCCACTCACTCTCTTCTCTCCACTTCTCTGACCTCCGTCGGGTTTCGGTTTCGGTTTCGAGCAGTTGCGTCTTTTGGTTTTATTAAAAAAATACGCTACTCTGTTGCAAAATATTAATTGGGTAGTCCTCCGACACCATAATAAAACGCCTGGCAAAAAATTAAAAAAAAATTTTGGGGGTGTCAGTGTCCCTTTAAAGGGGCCCTGTCAAATATCTGTCTGTCAAATATACTTTTATTCAGCAGCTCACCTAACAGCTAGTCAACTAAGCTCATATTTCAACCCGAAGGATATACTGATATCGCTTTAGTGGGACATAGTACGTAATATAATGCATAACCCGCTCGTCAAAATGACTTCTCGATTGCTACTAAAACCTGAATTGAAATACGAGTATCAGCTGCTTAGTGGGGCGCCGGCGGGTCAACATGGTCCTTGGCTCAAGAAGCGGTTGCTTAATTTTCGTAATTTTTCTGCAGCCTGTATTGTTGGCCGAGCAGACGACTGGAGCTGTTTCGTAAACGCGGATACGCACAAAAGCTCGGTTTCGCGGACAGATAAGTCGCATGGTCGAGGCATGCGAGTTACTGAAAAGTTACTCTCTGTGGAACAATTCTGTAGTCATCGCCGCTTTCCTTAGATGATAAAAACGGATTAGTATATTACCGTCTCTCCAGAGCCGATAGTTTCGGTTTTGAACGAAATCTCCGAAACGAAAGTTTGACACGAAAAGAACAAAAAAACACCGGCAAAACAAAACTATGCTTTGCAAGTTTATCTGCACCGGCTACACTTAACCGTCTCAGTTCAAATACCTATAAAATTGGGCATTAAACAAAAGAAAATCTGTTAAATTGAACGCGCCACCTGTTCAGGCGGCCCGGTCGAGCTAGAGCACTATATATCTCCTACGGAGCAGAGTAGCGCAATCCTTTGAACCCCGTGTTTTGCCGACAACATGGCCGACAGAGCGGCTCGGCGCGAGTCACGTGGTACTCAGGGTTCCAAGAGGCGGCCCGCCCGCCCGCCCTATGGGAGAATACATGGAGGTCGACATAACACGGCTGATTAAAAAACTAACGGCGAGTTCACATTTTTCAAAACTAGCCTGTCGTGAAGTTAGTAAAGCGCTAAACACTTTATCAAAGTTTTAATAATATCGGATGCGTGTGCAAATTTTGAGAAGGCAATTTCCAAGGTAATGGCGTTTGAAGCAGACGATTTTTGCTCGCAGCGGAGATGGGCTTTTCGGGTTGGCCGGAGCGGGTCACGTGAATGGTGTGACGTCGCCGTGTCGTCTGCTGCATGATGCCGCTCAGGCAATTTTTTAAAAAAAGTTACGTCCTTGTATGGCACAAAACTTATCGCATATTATTCTAAAATGTTTCATCATTATGTCAAAAATGATTTCCATTCCGCACATCCCCACAAAACTGAAGAAACAACGATTTTCTCACGTTCTCCATGCATTTCTGATCGCAGTTGGAACCTCCGGGCGTTCGCCGCTAGTCGCCGAGAGACGGCGTTCTAGATTGCGCTACTCTGCTCCGAAGGAGCTATATAGTGCTCTAGGTCGAGCCGCCGCGACCTGGACTCAGCCGCCATGTTTGTTTGGTGGTGGCGCCCCCTATAGGTGGCTGGAGTCGCGATACTGGCTGTGCCTAGAGCACTATATAGCTCCTTCGGAGCAGAGTAGCGCAGAGCCGTATATTGGGAGAGTTTGGCCATTCATTGGTATCAATGGGGCGAAAATCTATTGGTTGAATAGTTGATTGACAGGCCGCTCGTGGCCAATCACAAGCCGCAAAACCTCCCCTAGCGGTGGTCGTGAGCCTCAAAAGTAAAGCAGGGTTCGGTAATTTCATTTTAGCGTCGCTAGAGTTAAAAATGTTAACGCTCGGTGACTGAAAACTTGGTGCATGTGAGCTTTTCGTCATAGCCTTCTTTAATGGTAGAATAAACGAATGCGCACGCGGACACGTGCGTTGAAATAACGTAAACAAAAGTTTGTGTAGCCGCGGGAGTTCCGCCGTTCCCGTCTTGTTTGAACAATGGGTCGTTGTTGTGCTCTGAAGTGCCGGAACAGAGCTTCCAGGGGAATTCGCTTGTTCAAGCTGCCGAAATCCCTGAGGAGACGGAAACTGTGGCTTTCAGGAATCAAGCGTGGCGCGGGGTGGAAACCTCCCGACAGAACGTACCTTTGCGAGGTGAGGTATTGTTCATTGTTAATATTGTGACGCGAGCACAGTGGACGCGAGTGCACTGTGACAAAACCGTGTATTTTGTGATCTATTCTCTACTGCCGTGGAAGCGTCCTGTGCGCTTTCGCTTCACCGCAGAAAGACGAGTGGTTCAGTCCTGTGGCGGTCGTGCGATGATGGATTTGTAAGATCGCGTATTTTGAAAGCGTGAGCCTCTCGTCAGCGGAATAACTGTACTGTGACGCGAGCGGCTGAATACACAGTTTTGACGTCTACCAAAACGTTATTCGCTGCTGGACCACTTC